ACAAAAAGAGACAATTTCTTAAATTGACAGTGACACCGTCAAAATCATAATCACAATTTTAACTCTTCTATCCGGAGAACGTTATTTTGATTTTTTTTTTTACTGTGTTATGTTTACAGCTCAGAATTTAGGAGTGCCGTTACTGCAACCGTACGTTGGCGCCGGAGGCCGGAATTTTAGTGGAGGAGTGAATTTCGCGGTGGCCGGAGCTTCAGCTCTTGATTATGGCTTCTTTGAGGAAATCGGGATTCATATGGTCACAAATGCGTCACTTAGGATTCAAATGGAATGGTTCAAACAATTTTTGGCCACTCTGCCTGGTGAGATGGTCATAATTTGGGAAGATGCTACGGTCTCGTTACGGAACAATTTCATCGATGTTTGTAGTCAGGGGCGTAGCCAGAGAAATTATTTGCCCTGGGCTGATCTAACTTGTTCAAGAAAAATAAAATAAAATAATAAATAGAAAAAGTTTAACTTACGCTTAAAAAGTTTGTCTTATATATTTTGTTGTTTTATTATATTTTCTAATTATTCCGCCAATATAATTGATTTTTTTTAATGATCCTGATCGATTTATATTTAAAAAAAAGAAATACTTATGAATCTTACAACAATATAATTTGATTGGAGAATAAAAAATTAAGTAAAATTTGTTTTAGCAATAAGAATTTGTGAAGAAAAAATATAAAAATTGTAAAAGAATTTAAATGGAGTAACATCATTATAATTAATACTTGGTGAAATAGGCAAGGAATAAATTATTTAATTGAAAATTTGTATCAAATTATCTCATAACTTTAGCTCCATATTTTTCTTCTCTTTTTTGTTCTCATATTTTTGTTACATTCTTCTTATTTCATACGTTGTTACAATTTTACCTTTTTATTACACTTTATTATGGTTTCATTATTTTTTTTCCACAGTTATTAAATATCTATAGGGATTTTAAGTGAATTGATTCATTTAATTTATGCATATAACAAAATGTTCATATGGTCGAAGCATCACATCCTGTCTTTTTAAGTTTGTGGCCTACTAAAATGGGCTTAAATAAATATTAAATATGTTTAATTAAATTCAAAATATAATTAAGAGAGGCAGCACCACTATTAAAATGCAAATTCAACACAAATATTCTCATCTAATGGGCTTGGACCGAATTTTATGTATAGATATATATATGAGAGGCAGCAGTACCACTAGTAAAATGCCAACTGAAACACAAATATATCTAATGGGCTTGAACGAAACCTTACCTGGGCTGGAGCCCACCCTACAGTAAAAGTGGCTCCGCCCCTGTTTGTAGTCGTTAGATCAACTATCTCTGACGGTTACATGATGATCTAACGGTGTACAAACTCGACGGAATGATTCAGTAACGAGACTTTAGCATTTCCCCATAATTTGTTCTTAGTCACTTATGTATTGATTTTTTTTTTCTTCTTTTTTGATATGTTAGTGGTTTTATATAACACATATATAAATATATATAGGACTAACCTTTATGTAACGGAAGCGAAAACTTGTCCGTATCTTTTATCCGACGGCTGCTAGAGTCGTCGGTATCCTCCACGCTCTAAAACTCGAGCCGTCTTGATGGTTTCGGCTCAACAAAAGAATATGCACTAAATAAAGATTATGTATATTTCTCTTGTTTGTTTATTTGTCTCGTAGTGTACTTTTCATGATGCACAAAGCATCATATTTATAGTTGTCCTAATGCAACTATAAATGAAGACATAAATTCATATTAATGAAGTCTTCAATGCCCACTTCATAACTCCATACATAATGGAGATGAAGTTGTAACAAAACCACCTTTAAGTGGATGTTACCAATTGATGTAACATATCATCAATTAAAAAACAATACTCCCATTCAGCCACTTAAGCCGAGACTATAACAATAAATCTTTATTAGCAAATCTCTTGCCTCATACGGGTAATAGAACGTGCGACCAAATGCAACAATAACAGCGTTATATTAAGTCACCATCTAACTAACATAACACTTTCATACTTACGACAACCTCTAACTGTTCAAAAATCACCGATAGCATACACAGTCCCTATATGCTATATACACAACATGGTTATATTCAAATATAACCGTCCGGGCTAATGTGGTGAAGTTGAATCAGTTATTTCTTAGACACTAATGAAACTTCATCTCAACTTAGTTGCTTTCCTAACATGCTCCGTCGAACTGTATCGATCATAGCTCTTGGATGACATATTAAAGTAGCAACACTAAGTCTCAATTTCATAGCATAGTTCTAAGTCAAAAGGCTTCGTACAAAAATGGACAACATTATCCATAGGATTCACACCTTGACAAAGTAGAGAATCATTTGTCAATCCTTAACGGTCGTTCAAAGCACACGCAGTATGATATATGTGTCATAACATAGCTCCCACTATGATGGGCATGTCACTCTACTATGTTATACGAATCTTTAGTCTAGATACTACTCAAGTATCTAACCCGAGCCACTTGATAAATATACTTAATAATTTATCTTCCACTCGAGATTCGGCTTCAAGGCTTTGATATGAAATCAGGATTATTTCATATTCGACTCGTTAGAGTCTCATCTTATACTTACTAAGGCGACTGTTAAAATATATTTATACAACAAAAGTATAAATACAATCCATACTACATACACGTAATATGAATATGACATAGTCTCATCCTATTACTCACAACTAATGTGATAGGGCGATTACCTGTGTGATAAGCGTAATCAAAAGCCTGGTGACATCTTTACTCATGCCTACTTATGCAACATATGCTAAAGAACATATCGAAGAACAACAAATTTCATATATGTTCGATGTAACATTATACACATCCATTATCCCACAAAAATAAAATTAAAACCTACGCAAACCAAGACTCTTCACATGAGTTTGGAAAGCATCTCTGCGTATAGGTTTAGTTAAAGGATCAGCTATCATTTTATTTGTGGGTATATACTTAATGACAACTTCTTTATTTTTTATTGCGTCTCGTACAAAATGATAACGCCTTTTGATATGCTTGGTTTTCCTGTGAAACTTCGGATCCTGGGCATACTGGATAGCAGCAGTATTATCACAATGCATTTCTACAGGTTCATCAACCTTTGGGGTGAGGTTGAGATCCTGTAGAAAATTCCTCAACCATATTACCTCTTGAACGGCAACGCTACTGGAAACATACTCAGCTTCCATAGTCGAAAGGGCTATGCAATCTTGTTTTTTACTGCACCAGGATATTGCATCTCCATCGAATATAAATGCATATCCTGAAGTTGACTTTGACTCATCCAGATTGCCACCCCAGTCAACATAGTATCCTTTTAATTTCAAGGACCCACCTTGATAGCAAAGTACCAAGTCACTTGTACCACGCAGGTACCGCAAGATTCTCTTGACAGCTTGCCAATGTGCAGGCCCAGGGTTGCTTTGGTAACAACTTACCAAGCCAACCGAGAAGCAGATGTCTGGTCGTGTACATAACATGGCATACATCAAGCTTCCTACTGCACTAGCATATGGAACATTGCTCATTTTATGTTTTTCTTCATCTGTTTTCGGACATTGATCAAGACTTAAGGTCAAACCCTTTTCGACTGGAGTATCAACGGGTTTGGAATAATGCATTCGAAAACTGTTTGTCCCGTTTTTGTTGCTATTTTCGTTGCTATTTTGTGTGATGTTTTCCCCC